CTGGTATTCCATGTTTTCATACTTCAGAAATATCACGGCGATCCGTCTCATGTGTTAGACTTCAGTTCGGTTCAGTTGGACAATGATCTATTTTATGTTGAGGAACCCGTGGCTATTTTGGATAGGCAGGTTCGAAAGTTGAGATCAAAGAATATTGCTTCCGTGAAGGTTCAGTGGAGGGGTCATTCGGTCGAAGAGGCGACTTGGGAGACCGAGCATGATATGCACAGCTGTTATCCACACTTATTCACCAACTCAGGTATTTTTCTAACTCCGTTCGAGGACGAATGTTTGTTTTAGAGGTGGAGAATGTGATGACCCAAAATATCATCTTTAAATTTAATAATTAATTATGTGTTCTAAGACCTCAAAAAGGACTATTTATCATTCCTCGACTTGCGTGCGCAGTCTGTAAAATTTTCTGGAAAGTCTTTTTGTGAAAAATAGATTAAAATGTGAATTAGAGCTTTAAAACTCAACTAAGTTGACTTTGGTCAATATTTTGAGCAAACAGACTCAGATCAGTATTTTGACAGTTCTGGTAGGTCCATATCGTGATTTGGAACTTGGGCGTATGCCCGGAATCAAATTCTGAGGTCCCTAACCCGAGATATAGATTTTTGATGAAAAATTAAAAGTTTAAGTTCAAATAGTGACCAAATGTTGAATTTTGTGCAAACGACTTCAGAATAGAATTTTGATGATTCCAACAACTCCTTATGGTGATTTTGAACTTAAGAGCATGATCAGAATTTTATTTGGAAGTCCGTAGTGAAATTAGGCTTGAAACGGCTAAAATAGGAATTTAAAGTTTAGAAGTTTGACCGGGGAGTTGAATTTTTGATATCGGGGTCAGAATCCAATTCTGAAAATTTTTACAGCTCCGTTATGTCATTTATGACTTGTGTACAAAATTTGAGGTCAATCGGACTTGATTTGATAGGTTTCGATATCGAATGTAGAAGTTGGAAATTTTAAGTTTCATTAAACTTGAATTGGAACATAATTCGTGATTTTAGCGTCGTTTTATGTGATTTGAGATTTCAAATAAGTTCGTATGATATTTTAGGACTTGTTGGTATATTTGGTTGAGGTCCCGAGGGCCTCAGGTGAGTTTTGGATGGTTAACAGATAAAAAATGGGACTTAAGCAGCTGCTGCAAATTTTCTTCTGCTGTGCAATCGAGCCCAAAAATCGAAGGCCGGAAATCGAGCCTAGAAATCGAGCCGAGGATCGAAGGCAGGCTCGAGATCCATGATCGAAGGCAGGCTCGAGATCCATGATCGAAGGCAGGCTCGAGAGCCATGATCGAAGGCAAGGCTCGAGGGCCATGATCGAAAGCAAGCTCGAAGGCCAGTGATCGAAGGCCACTAATCAAAGGCCCAGGATCGAGGGCTATGACCAAGGCCAGTGATCGAAGGCCATAAAGATCGAAGCCATGATCGATAGCTAGGATCGATGGCTGTGATCGAGCCCCAGGGTCGAGGGCCATGATCGAAGCTATGATCGAAGGCCATGACCGAGGTCCATGATCGAGGACCATGATCGGACCCCATGATCGGACTCCCCATGATCGGACTCCCTATGATCGGACTCCTATGATCGAGGTCCAGGATCGGACCCCATGATCGAGGTCACCCTGGACAGATCTGTAAGTTATAAAAACAGGGGGGCTTCGTCCCATTCGCCATTTCTAACAACTTGGAGCTTGAGCAGAGGCAGTTTTTGATATATTTTCAAGGAAAAACATTAGGGTAAGTGTTCTTAACTCAATCTTGGTTAGATTATCCGAATCCATCATTATTTTTAACATTTAATTGGTGATTTAAGTTGAAAGAATTTGAAAACTCTCTTGGATAGATTTGAGGATTTGAAGGTCGAATCGTTATTGGAATTTAGTCATTTTGGTATGGTTAGACTCGTGGTTGAATGGGAGTTCATATTTCGTAACTTTTGCCGGATTTCGAGACGTGGGCCCTACGGGCCATGTTTGAGCTAATTTTGGATTTTATTAAAAAATATAGTATTTTCTTATGAATTTGATTCCTATAATTTTTGTTGACTGACAAGAGTGGGTTGCTCTAGTGGTGAGTACCCTCCACTTCCAACCAAGAAGTTGTGAGTTCGAGTCACCCCAAGAGCAAGGTGGGGAGTTCTTGGAGGGAGGGAGCCGAGGGTCTATCGAAAACAGCCTCTCTACCCAGGGTAGAGGTAAGGTTTGCGTACACACTACCCTCATCAGATCCCACTAGTGAGATTATACTGGGTTGTTATTGTTGTTTATTATTGTAATTTTTGTTGACTGTATCGAATTAATTATGACTAGATACGAGTCGATCGGAGTCGGAAAATCGAGAAAAAAGCATAATACTTGGTTAAATTGGAGCAAGTCGAGGTAAGTGACTTGTCTAACCCTATGTGGGAAAAGTTTTCCCTAGGATTGATATTGATGTGATTATTGAAATGTGTTAAAAGTCGTGTACACGAGGTGACGAGTGTGTACACGGGATAAATGTGAAAGATTATATTTTTAAATTGTGTAGATCACTGTTGCGCATTTATTAAATTATTTTATCTTGTTACATTCTTCATCATTGATCTGAGATATATACTTTAAATTTGTTTGACCTTTTCCTGCTAATTGGTTTACCTGTTTAGTTGAAACTTGGTTTCTTTTATTCTGTGCATTATTTGAAGGTTGATTTTCTTTAAATTAAATATTATTAATATGAAGTATTTGATATTTTTTCTAATTTGATATTGAAGCAACGTATCAAAGATTTTAAAATATTATTTTCCTGAATATTTTTGTAAGATTTCCGTACTCATTGTGATGGAGCACTGAGCTCTTTATTGTGGAAAAATATTATTGATGATTTATTTTGGCATGAGCCGTGAGCTCTTTATTGTGGAAAATATTGTTGTTGAATTATTTTGGCAAGTTACATTATTTGAGCACTTGAGGTGAAAATTATGATATATTGTGATATTGATACACATGCGGTGGTATAAGGTATGGGTATTGAAACACATGCGGTGAGATAAGGGTGACTTGATACGCGTGGCTAGTAGGGGGAACTACTAGAAGTCATGCGGTGTGATAAGGATGGCTAAAACGCGGGATGCTATTTCGGGAAAAATATTTTCTTTCAAATAAATTGTGAAGGCTCCCGCGGTGATATAAAGAAATGAAATATTGTGAATTTGCTTATGATTTGGGACTACGAGGCGGTACCTCGGGGGTGCACTTGTTGATATTGATTTATGGCCGCAGTTGCCTTTGATTATTATTGTGATTTTCTTAAAGTTGAAAAGAATTATGTTTTGTTTCCACGAGGTATTTATTTGCCATTATTTGGTGTAATCAAATGTGACATACTACTTGATTCATTTCTGTTGTCATTTTATCTTATATTATTATTTAAATATTTTATCATGCCATTATTTATTCTCCAGTAGGGCCTGACCTGACCTCGTCACTACTCTACCGAGGTTAGGCTTGACATTTACTGGGTACCGTTGTGGTGTACTCATACTACGCTTCTGCACATCTTTTTGTGCAGATCCAGGTACATATTATCAGACCAGGCATCAGTAAACTAGCTGTACGAGGAGACTTCGAGGTATATCTGTCAGCGTTCGCAGACTCCGGAGTCCCCTTTTATCTTACTATATTGTCCTCCTTATTTGATTTAGACTCTGATGTATAGAGACATAAAGAATAAATTCTCAAAAGCTTGTGATTTATTTCTACCGGATTTTGGGAGTTGAAATTGTTTGAATTGTAGTTTAATTATTTCAGATATTTATTATTATTCCGCATTGATAGGCTTACCTAGTCTTAGAGACTAGGTGTCATCACGACATACTATGGAGGGAATTTGGGGTCGTGACAAAATAGCTCTCGTGATAAGGTATTAAAATAATATAATTATTTTAATTGTAGTAATAATAATAATAATAAAAGTAATAATATATAATAATAATAATAATAATAATAATAATAATAATAATAAAATAATATTAGTTAGGTCTAGTAGGGGTGTTTGTCGGTCAATACGATACGATATTTAGACATTTTGATTCGGTATTTTCGGTATTCGATTTCTTAAATGCTATACCAATACCGTACCTAATTAAATTCGGTATGGTTAAGTTTTTCTCCTTTCGGTTTCGGTTTATTCAGTTTGGTAAGTTCGGTTTATTCGGTTTGAATACTAACTAGTGCATAGATCCATAGACTGTAATATTCTTAATTAAAGTACTCAAAAGTACAAAACTAAAAATATTTGTTGTCAAAAGTTTTGTCCAAAACTAACAAATATCAACCTAGAGAGAAAACTGTACATAAAGGAATAAATTTGATCATTAGAAATGTCTTGTTACGTACTTAGAGTTAATTCTTGAACTTAAAGAATAAAAGAAAGTGAAATTTTAATTTTTTTTATATTTATGTTATAATTAATAATATGTGTATTGTGTAATATAATATATATTTCGGTACGGTATTAGTATTTCGGTATTTCATTTTAAAATACCAAATATAATTTTTTTTAAAACTTAAACCAAATACCATACCGAATACCAAAATATCGAATACCAAGTACCAAAATTTTTGATTTCGGTACGGTAATTCAGTATTTACCAAATTATGCACGTAATTATATCTAAAAGTAGGATCCTTCACTATAAATTGGATTACTATATTTCTGTAAAGACAGTTTTTTGGCTTACATTATAACTCAAACATCATATACTCCCATATTGAAAAATTATTCTTTTAAGCTTCATAAATTGATTAATCTTGCTTAGTTCCAAAAGTTATCTTCTTTCCAACCTCGTTAATTTTTGTATACTTTGCAATCTGTATTCGATATTTCTATTTATTCTTACAATTTGTATTAAGCTATATCACGTAACGTTAGAACTACCTACAAATTCAAACTACATCCGTTTTTCGGATAAACTTTTTGTAATTTATGTTAAAAAGTTTGAAATGCCTTTATGTTTGAGCTGCTTGACCTAAAAACCCTAACGCCAGCATTCTTCTCTCCAGTCCTCTCGAATGGAGTCTCCGCCACCCTCCGCCGCCAAGGTCGGCCGTGCCACCGTAGAGAAGGCAGTGAGGCCCCTCCTCAAATGGAAAGAATCGAAGTCCAAAATACAGAAAGCCCAACTGCTCCCACAAGACGACTTCATCTACCTCAACCTTACTCTCAAGAAAATCCCACAAAAGCCTCGTACCAACACTTTCAGAATCCCTTTCCCTAACCCTATTCACGACCCTTCCTCCTCCGAGCTCTGCCTCATCATCGACGACAGACCCAATTCCAAACTCACTTCGGACGCCGCAAAAAAGATGATCAAATCCCAAGACATACCCATCAGCAGAGTCATTAAGCTGTCGAAGCTTAAAACTAACTACAAACCCTTTGAATCAAAAAGAAAGCTTTGTGATTCTCACGACCTTTTCTTGGTCGATGGGAGGATTGTTCATTTGCTTCCTAAGCTTTTAGGGAAGCAATTTTTCAAGAAAAAGAAGTTGCCTTTGCCATTGGATTTGACACACAAGAATTGGAAGGAGCAAGTGGAGAGGGCTTGTGGGTCCGGGTTGTTTTATTGAGGAGTGGGACTTGTTGTGTGATGAGGGCTGGTAAGGTTTCAATGGAGAGTGAGCAGATTGTGGAGAATGTGGTGGAAGTAATAAAGGGTGTTGTTCAGGTTGTTCCCAAGAAATGGAGTGGTGTGAGGAGTTTAAGGATCAAGCTTTGCCTGATATCAAGCTCAAGATTGAGGGGTTTAAGGAGAAACAAGCCGAAGAAGAAGTGAGTGATGGTTTGGTTGAGGTTAAGGAGAGTGAAAAGAAAGCTGATGAGAGGTCGGGGAAGAAGAATAAAGGGAGGATTCATGAAGTTAGGTATATGGACTTTGACAATGGTGTAGATGAATTGGAGAGTGATGATGATGTTGGTAGATATTTTGGCAATGATGCAGAAGAGGACAACAGTGATGAAGATATCAAGGATGATGGAGTTGAGAAAGCAAAGAAGAGGAAAACTGCTGAGAAGAAAGCCAAAAAGATGAAAAATGCTGAGAAACTTCTGAGTGAGTTGAATGGTGAAAAGAAGGCCAAGAAGTTGAAAAGTGCTGAGAAACAGAAGAAGAGTAAGTTGTCTTTGAAAGATGGAAAGAAGACTAGTGAGGTTGGGAAAAAACTGAAAGATGGGCCGGCAAAGAGTAAGATAAGAGCATAAGAATAATAATCAATTAGGAGTATTCAGCAGGGCATCACCTAAGCTTCAGCTGATTCCTTGTATCTTCAAGTCTTAAGCAGGCATTGCCCTTATAGTCGACTTTTGGTATTTATAGTTGCTTTTTTTCTTATCAATTTTGATCTTGAAGGAATCCGTAGTTCTAATACTGACATGGCTCTTCTATGTTTATCAAGGGTATGTTATTTTAATTTAAAGCTCTACTCTTTTTCACTTCTGATGGCTTTTGTGTGCTCTAATTGTCTTTCTTGATGCGAGTATCATGTCAATATTGAATTTTGATATTTATAATGACTTTCAATTGCCTATTCAGGGATGAAGAGCTATAATCCATTTTGTGATTGTCTTTTGCAACTAGCTTGTTAGTAGTTTTACAACCTTTAGCGGTTGAGGCATGTAGCAGACAGAGAGATTGTCCCCTCTTCAGCAAAAGAAAGAGATTCTACTCTATTGTTGGAAGTAGACATTTGATCTGCCTGATGAAATGTTAAATAACATGGAATTGAGGCATAGTAATTCTATATGGAGCAAACATGGTAATGCTAGAAAATATAGGACTTTGTAAATAATGCTACCATGTTATGATTAACTGCAGAAATAGGATTAAAAATGTCTGCTCATGGTACTACCTTGGCAAGTTTAGCGATGCTGGGTTTACTTTGCTAAATGTAGGTAAAAGGTGGCCTATGGAGTATTGACAACATTAGGGTTGATAAGTTTGATAAATCGATGAAATAACGTCTGTATCTAAACCATTTAGTAGTTCCCAAATAGTACACTAGCAGTATACTAAAGACCTAGAAATATCATTTTAGATATTGATGTCTTTTTCTCTTTGTGGATGCTTCATTAACCCTTTCTCTCTGCTTCAATCTTAATTTGTGATCATGATTCAGGTTCTCCTATCAAGTACTTGAAGCACAAGATCCATGTTGGTGACAAGAAGTTGCAGGACATGAACGTTGAGTTGTGAGGTGCAACAACGTAACTGAGTAAGTGGTTGTATCCTGCATTATGATGATATGGCTAAGTCTATACTGACATGACATATAAATAATTCCTTTATGCTGGAGTGCATCTATATATGACTAGAGCACGGATAGATGGGTCTAAATAAAGGTATAACAAACATTAAACACAAAGACTCAAGAATGAGTACTAACCAACAATTTCAACTGCCATGAAAGTTTGGCTATTTATTGATGCTAAAGGTCAAACGGATCATAAAACATAGTAATTAACTTCTCAGGGAAAACAGTAATTACTCACTCGACAATGACACTGTTAAATTGAAATTAAGCACTTGTAGCTAGACAATGGTGTAAAATGTCAACAGTCTGAAGATGCAGAATCTTTAATTTAAAAAGTTGATTACTCGGCCTATATGGACTGCTCAGTGTATTACTTTAATAGCATGTTTGGCCAAGCGGGAGAAATCAACTTATTTTGATAAGTGCTTTTGAAAAAAGTACTTTTGGAGAGAAACATTTTGTGTTTGACTAATCACTCTGAAAAACACTTTTGAGCAATAATTTGTCTTTGGCCAAACTTTTCAGAAAGTGCTTTTAAGTATCAAATTACGAATAAGGACATAAATAGATTTACTTAATAGTTAATATTATAAGTAAATAAATAATCTTAAAAATTTGTTATTACATGCAATAATTAAATCTTTTTATTTTATTTAAGTAAAATATGAAAATAAAATTTTAAAGTACTTAATTCTTTTAATATAAGTTAAATATATTAAAAATCTTTCAACAAATATAAAAACATTCACCCCTAAAGTCACTATATATTAGAAAGCTATCCTAAAAATAATAAGAAATATTTATACATTAATATTCTAAGTATTAGGTTTACCGGTTATTTTGGTATATACATATTATGTTAAGGGTAATTTTGGTAAGAAAAAAAGTCAAAACTGCTTCTGCTTTTGGGAAGAAGCTACTTTTTTCTGCTTCTTCCTAAAATACTTTTTTTCCAAAAAAGCTTGGCCAAACACCTCAAGTTAAAAAAAAAAGTGCTTTTAAAAAAAAAAAAAAAAAAAGCACTTTTGGCCTCTTGAGAAGCTTGGCCAAACAGGCTATAATTTGAACAAACAGAATCTTGATGATCTCCTTCATTCGTGAAGGTGTGTCTTTTGACTTTGATCTATCTTTCACTAACCTTCCTTGACTAGCCTTCCTCTTGAATGAGGATCAAGTTTTGCATCAGCTGTTTATTTTGAGCCCTTATTTCCACTTGTAGGATTTTTAGCTTGAATTGATTTTGGTAAAGTTTAATTTGCACCTGGTATATATGATGTCTGTTTTGACATGAATAGAGACTCTTCAAGCCTGAAATTAAGCCTGTTAATCGGGCTGGGTCAGCCCAATTATAGCCCGGTTTGACCCGGTTCAGCCCGGTACGTTGGGGGTGGGATGGGTTGGGTGAGGGCTGGGGGGAGCCGGCCTTGAACGAACATTTTTTGGCTACTCTGATCGTTGTCAACGGTCAAAATAAAAAATGACCGTTGGGCAACGACGATTGTTTGCACTTTTAGCCATTTCGGCCTATCCCCTTACTAAAATAGCCCCTCCATCCCCTAATAATTGATAAATTACATTCTTAGCCTTTTAATAACTATAAATAGCCCCCCGCTTCTTCATTTTTTTCACAACTTGCTCTGTTCTTCTACTCTAATTCTCTCTCAATTCCCTTTTGATTATTGAATTGCTTATTGCTCTCAAGTTCTCAATTCATTAATATTTCAAGTTTTATCAATTATTTAAGGTAGTCACTACAAAATTACAATTATCAAGTGAAGTGTGGTTACCATTTTTGTTAGGTTCAAGTTAAATCATGCCTCGTGCTTGTAGAGTGCATTCACATATTTGGGAACACTTGGTGGTAGAAGAAAATGAAGAAGTTCGCAAAGTAGAGTGCAAGAACTATGGTCGAGTCTTTAATGTTCATCGAAATTGGGAGGGCACATCTGGTTCAAGGAGGCATATCAAGAGTTGTCTTGTGCGTCCTCCAAGAATTCGTATTTAAGTTGGTTTGAGACAATTTGGGTTATTTTGAATTTGATAGACTTTATTTAAGTTTAATGTGTTAGTTTATAAGACAGGTTAATTTGAAGTATTATTATGCAATGAAAATATGAAATGAAAGTATTTGAAGTTTGATCCTTACATATTGGTCTTATTAAATAATTTTATGTAGCCACTTAATTTTAATTTTAAAATTTTAAAATTCAAATTTCAAATTTAAAACTTAAACTTTAAAGGTTAAAGTTTAATTCTAAGCCTTACAAGTTTGCAAACACTTAAGTATTAATAACATTGAATAAGAAAAATAAAATATACTTAAAAAAAATAAAATTGAGCTAGCTCGGTCCGGACCCGTTAAGTCCGAACCCGGACGGGCACACCAAAACCCGGAAAATCTCAGCCCAGAATCCCAGCCCACTAACTAGCCCGGAACAATAACCGGACGGGTTGATTTTTTTTTTTTTTTTTTTGGTCCAGCCCGAACTAGCTCGTCCGGTTAACACTGCTGAAATTAGTTCTTGCCCCTACTTATCATTTGATCATTATCTGCAAACAAAATTCCAATACTTTGAGCAATTCAAGAGGCTCTGTATATATTATATGATGTCATTCTACCATAAATTCTCATGGTTATTCTACATGAGCACAGTTTGACGTGGTAAACATATAGAAACACATGAACAAATTTCACAAAATAGTGCAGAATCAAGAATAACTTTTGAAAATGTATCAGCAATTAACACTCATGTGATGTAGCTGCACCATTAGCTTTTCTATTCATGTTACAGGATTTGTTTTATGACTTTTTGGAGTTAAATCAATCTCTATAGGTCTACAACTATTTGGCTAATTTTCTTCAGCTTTATTTGTCTTGGGATATCCCTTTAATTTGTTTTTGTGATACAAAATATTTCTCTTAATTTCTTTAATTTGTTGATTTCTGCAAATAAAGTCAAAAGGCTATTTTTAATTTGATATAGATGGATGTGGTGTTGAAATCAATGCTAATGTTCGGCTTGCTGCTATTAGAACAGCAAAGATTTTAGAACAACTGTATCCACATCAACAAGATAAACATGGTCACTTGCTTATTGCTTTGCTATATTCCCACAAACCCAGCTGCAGATGTTAACAGATGATTGGATATTATATATCGTTGACTAGCAGTTCCAATACTAAATACCAAAAAGTACACAACAATCTGATCTGTCGACTATCTTTCTCAAAATTGAATCTTGATTTAATATCTCTATTTGCAACTCCTAAAAGGAGTTATGTCTTATTTTCTACTCCCTCCGTTTCAATTTAGATGAGTTAGTTTGACTCGACACGGAGTTTAAAAAAAAGAAAAAATATTTTTAAAACTTGTGGTCTTAAAAGTTTAAGGGGTAAAAGACTCGTGAGACCATGATATTTGTGTAGTTATAAAAACCTTTTATTAAGGTAAAATGTGTAAGATGAAGAGTTTAAAGTTGAATTATTTTCAAATTTAGAAATGTGTTATTTATTTTGGAATATACTAAAAAGTAAAGTAACTCGTTTAATTTGAAACGGATGGAATAAAATTTAAAGTAATATTTCGTCTACAGCCATTTACGTCAACTGCTCTATAACGAAACAATTTGACTAGCCAAAAGAAAATCTTTAGAACTTCCATGATAAATATTTTACTGCCTACACTTCTGTTTTTCACTGCGTGGCATTTTAAAGAAATTAGGTAAAGAAAGAGATATGTTTTATCACGAAAACAAATTAAAGGAATACCCCAAGACAAATAAAGCTGAAGAAAATTAGCCAAATAGTTGTAGACCTATAGAGATTGATTTAACTCCAAAAAGTCATAAAACAAATCCAGTAACACATATATTAACATGAATAGAGAAACTAAAGCTCAATTGACGTTTTATAACACATTTTTTAGCTAAATGAACTTCACATAGCTTATGTGCTTAAAATATTTTTCCCGTATACTGTACTGCTACTATAAAAATAATATACAACTGGGACGAATTATATGGTCGGAAGGAAATAAGAGGAGATAAAGATCGATGTTAGATTCAGCAGAATGATACAGCGGTAAGTGAATAAAATTAAAACGAACAATTTTAACATAATATATAGTATCCATGGGATTTACCGATATTGGGATCGCCATTTTATCTTGCGAGTTGTTCTATGTTGTAATTACTAAGTAGTATGTTTTTATTATTTTCTCAACAGGCATAAAGTTTTTATGTTGAAGAAGAAATATCATTGCCAAGTGAATTCCACTTTTTCTTCATACTTTTATGCTCTGAGTGTCAACGTCGAGCACGAATCAAGCGCAAAAAGAAAGTTTTTCCGTATCAACTGCAAGTTACAGAGAATGTTGATTCCAAAGGTAATAACAGCTCTTGCCATTGACATAGTGTGACTAGCGACATCTAATAGCTAAAACTTTATCATCGCACAAACGCAATATTGTAGATGCGAATTTGAAGTTGACATTACAGACGGGAGCGGAACAGTAGCAGTAGTAGTGTCGGACAAACTAGCTGAAAGAATGATTTCACTGACAGCAGACCAAATATATGAAACTACCATTGTGGAGGTGCATATACTGAACTCTAGAATCATTTTGCTGTCACTCGAAATTAATTTAAAATATTCACTTTACTTATCCCGTGGTAAACTTTTTTTCACGGAAACAACTATTACATGTTGAGCATATCAGAGAGCACCTGCTAGACAAGTTGTTCAAAATTTATTTTCAAAAATCACTACTCAGAACATCAGATAGACCACTCAGAACCGTTTTCATCTTATCTTACACGCAAAAACACTGTCTTCGACTTGTCACAATCTTCAACATCAACTACTATTGACGAGGGAAGCAAAAGAAAGGTAGAATCCATCATTTCCGAAGAAGCAGATCGCACTCCATCGACCCAAGATGCAAACCCTAGGAAGAAACCAAACATACAATATTCAGCAAGTCCTATGGCAAAAACCAAACATACAATACTCAACTACTCTTTTATTACTCTCAATTTGTTGTTCATACAGATGCCTCATCAGATTTGAAGTGCAACAAAGGTCGCCTCAATGTTTTTTGATGGCCTACAACAGTTTTAATACTTGCATTCAAGGCAGATTTTGGTGGTGTTGTTTACTGCAATACAATCTTTCACATTTTGTGTAAATAACTATACAAATTTTCATGAACTATTTATTGCAGTATAATATTTCACATTTTGTATAAATAGTTATGCAAACTAACTCTTTGAATAATTTGGTAAATTCAAGTAGATCCCTTTATACATACATTTATGTTTTCATCATACCTCCAAAGCTCCGAAGCATTTCATCATAACTTAATCCAACAGTGACACCATAGCCGCACACCTATACAAAATAATATGCAAGCCTAGCTCAGTACTAACAGAGTTACTCTCAAAAAGAAAAATTACCACCAAGAACTAAAATGAAAAACATATCCACTCAATGTTACTCTTACGTTGACATGGTAACATAATATAGTAAAAACTGCATTGTCGTTCAATTTGGTCGCCCCCATTTAACCTGTATCCATTTTTAATTTTTTTAATTTGTACCATCTTTTTAAACAATTTCAGACCTTTTTCTCCTCCTCCTCCTCCTCCTCCTCCTCCTCCCCCTTCTTCTTCTTCTGATTCTTCTGACAGTGATTTTATATAGTATTTGTGAACATATATTTGTTGGGATATATACTATTAACCATGAGTTTGGTTTAGATATAGTATTTATTATGAAATAATTATTTAATCAGTTTTAATAAAGTTTACATAAATCATATATTAGTCTGTGTCCTTTGCTTATATAGTAGATGATTTAGTGTATAGAGTTTAGCTTACACACGGAAGATTAAATCATCGGTTCTTATAAGTATAAAGTTTGAGTTCACAATCTAATAGTCGAATTGGACAAACCATCATGGATGATTATAGCACAAGATTAAATATAATTTATCTTGATTGCGGGAATAGTTTAATTCCAACTTTTTGTGCTAGTATATTTTGTATGTATTGAATGAACCAAGTAGAGATAAGTATTTTATACTGACTTAATAAAATAAACGCTCTAGCCATTAAATGTACTTATACTCTTAATCTTGATATAATTGTAATTAGTTGTGTATATTATTATTGTTTTGATTTATTAAAATGCGAGATCCTTTTGTGGGTTAATATGCCTGGTAAATTAGACAATAACAATGTACATTGGCAAAGTAATAGTTAGTTGATGGAATTCATGTCTCGGTTTAGAGATTGATGAAACACCTTTATGAAAGCTTATAAGTTTTCATGTATAAACCCGACCGATGGATTTTGTATCCGACACATGAAATAAGTTAAACGAAAGTCTAAAGGAAGTAATCAATAAATTAAATTTTCAGTAATTTAATTTAATTGATTTATATCTGAATCTTAACATGGAAAGTTAAATAAGATTTAATGGATGAATTTCGAAATTAAATAAGGAGTGCAATTACTAATTTTTAGTGTAATAATTCGTAATTTATTATGGTGGATATTAATTTCAAAAATTATAATTAATTTCATAATTGGGCCTTGTTAATTAAATTCGGTGGTCCCTGCTGTGCCTAAATAATAAGAAATAACGGAATCCTTTTCTTGGTGGAAAGGAAACCCAACAAGTTTTGGAAAAGGGTTTTAACCCTTAAAATTTGTGCTATAAATACATAAGATTTTTCACGTAGAGGGAAGAATAACATGCAAAGATGTGAATTACATGCAACTTTTGAATTACACGCAAAGATTATTTTTCTGTAAAACTCTACTGCTTTATGCATGAATATTTGTTCCCATAATTTTGATTATTTTGAAAATCATTTAATATCTGTTTATTATTGATAATATTTAATTCGAATAATCTGAAAATTTAGTTAATCCGAGAAAAATACAAAAACTCCTATTTGGCTGAATTGGTTAGAAAATTGGAGGTCAACATATTGACGGACTCCGATTGACCTGAAATTTGGTAGGTCCATGTGAAACGACCCAATGATCAATACACATCAGATTTGCTCATGACGTAAGTCATTTTTCGGGCATTCGGGGTCGTTTAGATGGTGTTTTGGGCGTTTTTCTAATTTTTTGGAA